ACAGAATCAATATTATTCATAGGATGTGATAGCAGGTCTAACATTTCTAGCTTTTTAAAAATAGAGAAAGCAATATTGACACAATGTGTAAAGCATTGGTGAGTTCAGGTACATAGTACTACCATCATGTAAGAGCTCTAGGTTTGGGAGTAACAATAAAACTGCAATTCATCTAATCAGGCAAGAGACCAAGTGCAAGGTTAAGGTGACTACTTTGTGGCTTTCTTGGTCTACAGGAAGATGTCTGGAGGAGGACAATGGTAATTCATTTAGCTTTTCTGCATTCCTCATGATTAGGGTGTGATGGGTTCCCCCTCAGGGTGCCACCTGAAACTGGGGTATCACTGAGCCCCCCGACCTGCCAGCCTGAGCTCCCTTTTACACTGTACTGCTGTGACAAGCTGCTAAGCTCTCTCCAGACTCCAGCCTGCATTTTCACCAGCACACATACAGGTAGGGACACACCCAGCTGCAATTCCACGCATTATAAGGGATAGCAAACAGATCAAAGCAGATTACCTATCAAATAAACAAAAAATGCAAACTAAGCTTAATACAATACATAGATCGACTATGAATAGCAGATTCTCACCCTAAGTGATGATACAAACAGGCTACAGATTCTAAATGGGAAAGCTGCACTTGCTTACACCTTGGAATCCCCAGGTGTTCCATTCACAGGGTAAAAATCCCTTTAGCCTGGCTTTAGCACTACCCCCGGTTCAGTCTTTGTTCCTCGGGTGTTTCTAGGAGTCTTCTTGGGTGGGGGAGTCAGTGAAGAACCACAATGATGCCACTCCCCTGCCTTATATAGTTTTTGCATATGGCAGGAACCCTTTGTTTCAAAGCTTGGTTCCCACACCACTCAGTGGAAAAATACTGACATCCCAAGATGGAGTCCAGCACCAAGTGACCTGGTCACATGTCCCTGGAGTGTCACAGCCACCATTACTCGGAGGCTGTCTGTAGCATCCTCAGGAAGGCTCCCCAGGTTGGAGATAAGCTTCTCCTAAGTCCTTGTTGTCTCTAATGGCTCATTAACTTGAATGGACCCTTCCCAGCCAGCCATCTAGACTGAGAACCTTTTGCCTAGTGGGCGTTACCCAGGTGTAACTATAAGTGAGATACAGATACAGTCAATATTTATAACTTCAGATACAAAAATGATACATTCATACAAATAGGATAATCATATTCAGCAAATCATAACTTTTCCAATGACATTTCACATGATTTATCTTGCATAAAACAAATCATAACTATGTCATAATCATATAATAATAATATCTCTATGAAGAATATGGAGTGCAGTATCACATAGGGCATGGAAAAACCTGAATTACTGCCTCAGAGAAGACTATGAAGGCTGTATTCCCCTCTGGGGATAACTGCACAATGACAGTGGGAACCAAAGGGCAGGAGATAATGGGCACAGTGGCAATACCTTCCAACTCCTTTGTACATTTATATTACATTGCACTGATTTATTATGAGCTTCAGTCTAGTCTCACCTACACCATTACACTGGTGAAATGCCATTAGCTGGTATGGAGATACTCCTGATTTACACCATGAGAGGAAAATTGGGCCCATACAATGCCTTTGATCCAAAACATATTTAGATACATAAACATCAAGGAGAGGGGGCAAATCCAGCCACCACTCCATGTTAGTTCCTCCATGGAGAGCCCCCGACAGTGGAACTAGTGGAATTCTACTGCTCAAGACAAAGAGGGCTGGATTCAGAGGGAAGTGATGCAGAGAAAAAATACATCTGCATGGCATAGAGCCAAGCTTTGTTCAATCTCTCTGTGAAGAAGTGTGGAGTGGGTGGGAGGCCTGGGCAGACTACAGGAGCTACTGCTTTAGGGATTCTCCCATCCTCCCCTTGCAGAGGTCTATCTGATAGGTAGGCGCTACTAGACATTAGACTGCAGTAGCCTCCATGGAGAAGATAATTCCTCTCCCTGACCCTATATGTGCCCAGAGCCTGGGCATGCTATTCATGGTAGAACCTGGGTTCAGGATTTGGTTCTTACCATTTGGCATAAATGTCACATTTAATGGAATTCAAGCAGTGGTGCAGTTCATTTACTAGAACTGGTATTAGCATTACATTCCAAACCTAACAAGTTAACATATTCTTTTTAAATACTGCAGATTAAATTTCAGGCCATCTGGAGTCTTAAGTTTCGAAAGTAAGGACTTAGGAAGACCACAAAAGAGAGAAAGGCAATATTCAAAATAGGTGGAATAAAAATTTCAGCACAGGCAGAACAGAATTTCAGCAAACGTCCAGTGCCAATGTAAGGCAAAATAGAAGGAAAAGGACCTTTTGAGATAAAAATACATTTCTGGCCTTGACAGCAAAAAGTACGTTTAAAGAGTGATCAGTAACATGCTATTGAAGCCACAGATAGTGTGATAATGAGAGTCACAGAAATGAATATGTAACAAAGAAGAAGCATAGATAGAATCAGATGGATGGAAGGAAGAGAGAAAAAGAGGGTAAATATAATAATAAAGAGCCAAATTACCCCTCCCATAGTAAAGGCCACAGGAGGGCTTAGAGCAAGGAAATATCAATGAGGATCCCCTCATGGCGGTTCTCCTGCATTATTATTTTTATTTGGGGGAGATGGGGGGAATAGTTTCACCAATGAAAAAGTCATGGGGACCACCCAGAATCCTTGAAGATCCCAGGAGATTAACAAGAAGCCATGGCTATCCATGTGGAGGCCCTGTGGCTCTGCTGCAATTCTGGGTTCCCAGCACCATCCCTCTCCTGCCAGTGATATCCCTCCAGTGAAACAAGTTGTGACAGTCTATACCTCTATGTTCACCCCTTTTACAAGACTATGATAAATTTTGTACAAAGTATGCCATGTGGGGTATCATTTGAAAACTCATAATTTGCTGATCATTATTGTCCTGGTAAAATACGTGTGGCAATATTGTATGTAAAGTTATAAGATTTTACTGTAAGATATTATTAGGACATGTTCCAAGTCTGGAGAGCAGTCACAAACCACTTCCCCAGAGACAAAAGGCTAGCTGACGCCTCATCCAGGTGCCAATAAAATCAAATGGATCATCACTAGGTTAAGTAGCTATTCTATGGCAGGAAAGAGGGTGTGGGCAAAAATCTACATCTTGACAAAGAAACAGCTGGGTGTTCCTCTCTACACAAACTTTCTGTCTCCGGAACCTCAGCTAGAGATGATTCTCAACGAAGAGACAGAGCTATAAGAGAGTTGCCTCAATTTCTCTCTCTAGCTACAGCATCAACTACCCTTGAAGAACCAAGGAAGCAGCATTGGACTGGGGGAGGGATCCTGACTGAAAGACATTCAGCCAATAAGACTGCTGAAATATGTGGTGTGAGAGACCTTTGCTTTGAATTTGCTTAGCTTGTTAAGTTAGGCATTAGTTGCATTTTGCTTTTATTTTCTTGTAACGATTTCTGACTTTTATGCCTTATTACTGGCAATCACTTAAAATCTATCCTTTTGTAGTAAATAAATTTGTTTTACTGTTTTATCTAACCACTTGCACTGAAGTGTTTAGGAAACTCCATTTGGGAGAACAGGATTTGTGCATATCATTTTCTATTAATAAATGAGGAACATTATCTGAGCTTGTATTGTCCAGGAAAGAGCTGGACAGTACAAGAAATACATTTCTGGGGAAAGTCTGGGACTGGAAATTTGCTGGTGTTTCTCTGTAGCATAATTCAGGAGTGGCTGGCTATAGCATTTATACATAACTGGGAGTAACTTACATGCTGGAGGGGGTGTGTGAGCAGACCAGGAATGGTAGCTCTTACAGCAAAGCAATGTAAAAGGCACCCCAGGTTGGAGAACTGAGAGGACACAGCTATTCATTGTATCCTGGGTAATGTCACACAAATATACATTAAAAACCTAAGATTTATCATTAAGCCTCTAATGTTTCAGACTTAGGCTATGTCTATACTACCACTGATGTCGGCAAAACTTCTCCAGTGGACATAGCTTATGCTGCTCATTGGGGGTGGGTTTTTTTATACCGACAGGAGAGCTCTCTCCCATCAGCATAAAGCGTCTTCACCACACACACTAGTGGCACAGCTGTATTGGTACACCATCGCTGCTGCCACGCTGTATGTGTAGACATGGCCACAGGTTCCAAAGTATTTTCTCTCTAGTTCACTGGTACTGTATGAGCTGAGTGAAATCTTGTTATGGGTTGAGTAAAAACATAATTCAGACTGATGTGTGAATGTATCCTTCACTTAAGATACTTGTAAGAAACACTTAATGAACTACACCTAACAAGGCCTAGTAGAGTCTCCCCAGAAACTAGAACCATGTGGTGGTATCGGGGATGGGGCACACAAACTTTCACTGGGTATTGTGACCAGGGCCGGCTCCAGACAAAAAAAAAAAAAAGCCACGATCGCAATCGTGACTGGCAGCGGCAATTGGGGGGGGGAGGGGGGGAAGCCATGATCGGCGGCGGCAGGTCCTTCGCTCCTAGAGGGAGTGAGGGACCTGCCACCCCCGAATTGCCGCACGTGCTGCCCCTCTCCCTTGGCTGCCCCAAGCACCTGCTTGTTAAGCTGGTGCCTGGAGCCGGCCCTGATTGTGACCAGGTTTGTGTTAATTTTAATTTAAAATCTTCAGGTGTGTTAAAGGCTCTATGTTAGACTTTCCAGTGACATGGCATAGCTGTGTTGATGGAGCTATTACTGAAGACAACTTTTAAGTGGGGATCTAACTGATAGGACTACTGTTATAAGAATCTCTTAAATTCCAACATGTATTTCACTGGCCAATACCAAACTCTTTTTATCATGTTATGTATTCCATTTGAGTTCGCTGCTTGAAAATACTTATGATTGTCATCCTTGACCAGGTTTAAATTGACATTTTTATCACAGCATTGCTGGAATGGTACTGCAAGTTACTTGCTTGTGAGTAGCTATCAACTGGCAGAAATTTAAACAGAGGTTGGTTGATTAAAATTATATGCCAAGAGTGATACAGGCAGCAAAATAGCGAAAGTCAGCCAAGGTAGCAAAGGGAGTTAAAACTATAACTTTTCAGCAGAAAGGGGACATATATGCAAAACAAGTATAAATACCACATCTTAATTTAATACTTTATCATCAAAAAGCTACTAATTAAAACTTTCCAGGTTCAGCTGGTCAGGTTTTATAGCTGAGTGCACTCTCTGAGCATGCGCAAACCAACACTTATGAGATTAATTTGTAAACTCTTCAAATTCTGAATCCCCAAGGTTTATGCTGTCTGTGCGTTGTTTGCATAATGCAGTTTTATACTGCAAAAGCATTACCTATAAAGGGATTATTTTCATATTCGGCACATTAAAGATCTAGCACAATTCACAGATATCATACTGTGTTTATGCCTGAGATAACAGGTAAAGAGTTTCTCATTCTGATTATCCATGAAGCAAACTAAGAATATGAATGTTTTTGGAGAGAATGTTCCCTTACTGAAATTAATTCCCCAATGGTTTTATTAAAGTCTGCAAATTGCATTATATTCCCATCATATTTGAAATATTGCACTCCCTTAATGCCTGCTCTAACCCATGGCATGCCATCTTCCCTGGAGTGTCTAGACATGGTGTCTTAGATTTATGTGTATGATCTCAGTGTGTTACAACATCACTCCTGACTAATGCATTATTACAATACTTACATATATTCCCAAGTGCCACTATATGGATTAGAAAATCACCAATCTGCATATGCACACCATCTGTGCTACTGACAGCAAAACATGCATGATAACACTTGCCTTATTTGTAGAGAAAATTCAGAAGGTACTGTAAGAACAAATGGGAACACAGTCTTTTTTATGTTTTGTTTTGTAGACTGATAAAAGAAGACAAATACTAATTTTACAGAATGACAGTCCATGCCTATGAGAGTTTAAAACAGCAGTGTTGTCTTGAAAACCCTGTAGAGAGAGAAACAATTGGCAATAATATGTAAAGAGACAGCCTAGCATTTTTGAGATTGCAAATGATATGGCAACTTTCAAATGGCAGTGAAGGCTACCAGTGTCATGAATTTTAAAAATCTCAGCTCATATGCAACTCTAGTTTTGTAGCAAAACTGCCCGTAGTCAGCAATGAATTCTCTCTCAATTATAAGCTGCAAGAGTGCTTGCAAAAGATGAATGAGTCTCTGTCTTACTGAGGTGAAATGCTTTTAAAGGACAGGAATCTGCTTATCTTTGATTGATTGCTCAGTCTGATACTTTCCTTTATAAAGTTTATTGACTACAAGCCCATAAATCAATGAAAAACAAATCACAGGTTCAATTTTGGGGGCACTGACATCCTGCCATCTTTGCAGCTGCAACTCAGAAGTCAAGGAGCAAAAAAAAAAAAAAAAAGAAGGGATTTATGAGACAAAAAAGACTGTTTTGAGTAAATTATCACTTGAAATAGTTTTAAATGTTTGTAAACAAGGACTTGGGTCACATTGATCACTAAAATGTTTAAGTAAATGTAAAAGTATAATGAATACAAATATACAGGGGAGGGTTGTTTGTTTAAGTCATTAAATGCACAGGAGATGTAATTAACAGCCAAACACACTTCTATTTTGCTATCAAGACCACTCTTCTTTCTACTCCTACTAGTGCACTAAAGATGTTAATTCCCATTCTCCAGCCCCAGTAAAATGCAGCATTTTTCATTCAAATTACTCAAGCAAGAATCTAATTACTTCGGGGCGAGTTGAGGGTTAGTGGCAGTGGGTTCAAAACCTCTACCCTAAAACTCCCCCATGGAGAAAAATACTTGCACCCTAACAATGCAAAAGTCATAGGTCTTGTTCATATGTAGGATGAGGCAGAATGTGACAGCAGAATAACACAGATTAATTTGTGCTGTTGACCCTGACATAAAATCCTGTTGTGTCTTCTTTTAAAGTCAACGTTCAGGTCACTGGAAAATCTGATAGTTTTGGGATTTTTTTTTTTTTTTTAAATAAAATTTCCCATTCTGAAGTGTTAAATGTGTGAAACAAATGGCAGAGTACTATCATTATACAGCACAGCCTCTCAGTAAGGGGTCCAATTTCAAGGGTACCCTGACTGAATTACATTATTATTAGCATTTTTATAATTCATGTCTTGCTGTAGTACACAAAATGCCTACATTATCCAAAGCAGCTTTTTAAAAGCTGGTTCGTGTTCTAAGTAACCAGGAGTGACCGTAGTTTTCTTTTATCTCTTTACAGCTTTTGTTAAGGGCTCAATCTGTGAGATTCTCAGCACCCTGGCCATGATCCAGAAAAACATTTCAGCATGCACGTACTTTTCTGCACATGAGTAGTCCCCTTTATTTGAATGGGACGTGCTTAAAATTATGCACGTGCTCATGTACCTTCCTGAATCATAGCTTGGGGCCAGCGTGCTCAGCACCTCGCAAGATTGAGCCCTATAGAATTTGTAGCCATTTTCACTATTATATTTCTTGTCAATTTAGAACTATGTTGGGCTGTGCCTGAAGGGAGTGCAGTGAAGGATAATGTTAACACATTCCCTTAAGAAAAGATTGGGTGACAGAAGGATAAAGACTGAACCCTTGACAGAGTGACAATCCGTGGCAAAGTGTGTGCATGTTTTTAAACAGATATTTGCATGATGTTAAATATGGAAAAGAAAACAGAAAATTAAGGAATTCCATTCAGTTCTACATGGGATTCCACTATCCTCGCGCCTCCTGAAAACATTCCATTCCCTCCATCCCACCCCCAAGATTCAACAAGTTCTTTGGGATTGAAGTTCATGGAACAATGTACCAAAATTCTTGTTCACTCTGCAGGTTCCCAGGGAATCTCAGGAAGCCTTCACTGGAGCGACTATCACTTTCTAGTGGTCTAATGGCCTTTAATTGACTTTAAACAGAGCATGGTGCTTACGAGCATTTCATCTTCCCCAGACAGGCAATAACACACAACACAAGATGCATTAATTGGATATGTGGTACATATCCTTGTATACGTTGTGGGACATGATGGCCTTGAGTCTGCACTGCCTTGTACATTGTGTGGTCTTTTACACCTTGCAAAGTGAGTGTAGAATGCTCCCACTCTGATTTTTCACCTACTTTGCAGAGATATACATGATTAAACAAAGGGCAAGGCAGAGGGGAAGGCTCTACTATTAGTGCAGGGGTTCTCAAACTGGGGGTCGGGACCCCTCAGGGGGTAGCGAGGTTATTACATGAGGGGTCGCGAGCTGTCAACCGCCACCCGAAATCCCGCTTTGCCTCCAGCATTTATAATGATGTTAAATATATTTAAAAGTGTTTTTAATTTATAAGGGAGGGTCACACTGAAAGGCTTGCTATGTGAAAGGGGTCACCTGTAAAAAAGTTTGAGAACCACTGTATTAGAGTATGTTTTCTAAAAAAACCCTACAAAATAAACCAAAGAGCTTTTTTTCTTTTTTACTTTGAATGAAAGAACCCAGCAGAATTTTCCTGTGAATCACAATGCCAGGAATAACAGTTCTTAAAGAAAGAAACAAACTTGAACTTTTAAGAGAAGGAATCATTTGCAGTAAAATTGGTGGCATCAAACTGTGAAGAAAGGCAATGAGTAGGTAACAGGAAGCTGCTAGCTCTTCTTTTGTGGAGCAAAGCATGTGTAGAGAAAAAGGCTTTGTCACACAACAGGGCTGGGTGGGGGCAGCTACTCTGCTGCATGTTAGACCAAGGTGTAGTAATTTCCAGTTATTTTAAATGTGATTTCAGCCATGAGGTCTCAGATGTTCACCATTAGAAGTTTGTCCACAGCTCTTGAAACAGCAAAAAAGACTAACTGGTCAATGAGAACATAGCATTGGACAATCAATATTAAAGATTTAATCTCATTAACGTTTTCCTAAGAATTCACCTGTCAGTCTGTAGTTGGCAGCTAGTGGAAAGTTGAGTACAATGAATTAGACATCTTTTAAACATTATTTTTCGAACTATCTTCCTGATCTTTTATACTTGTTTGTTCTGCAGTTTCTTAGAAGTTATAACTGCTGGAGTACGCTGAAAACCCAAGGGAAAAAATTTAACCTGGTCTCCTATGCAGCTTCATTCTGCTGAGGTCAGTGATTAATAAAGACAAGATTCTACTTCAGGGAAGCTAAATGGAGTTCATTACAGGCATGAGAGTTAGAGAAGGCTAAAAGGTGAGAATATGGGAAACAGGATGAAATAAGAGTCTAACAAGTGTAGATTTCACTTCCTTAGTGTAACAAGAAGGACAGCTTTTAACTACCAACTACTCTTAAAATTATGGATAATAGTGTTTTAAAGGAAATATGTTATGGGAATATGATCATTGATTGCTCTATTTTCTTACAAGTGGATCCTTGCATATACATACATATTAAATCATGTGTGTACTTGGGGAAATTAATATTCCAGTGTATTTTAATTTGTCATTTAAAATAAGTTTATGTTGTGCTAATGTTGGTAATCATTATTGTAGCAATTTAAATATCGTGTGCTTTGCATTTTCCTTGAAAAAGAAGAGTAAATCTTATTTAATTTGGGAGAATGACTCACATTGCGCAATAGATGCTACCCCTGTATGTAGACTGAAAATCTCAAGAATTTTAAGATATTTGTCACTATTGCTGAATCTTTGAATGGCTATAGCAGTACTTTGTGGAAGGATTTCCCATCAGGAAATGTCTCACAAGAACCAGACTGGTTTTATCAGGCTACAGAGTCTAATGCTGAATCCACTGCCTGGTGCTCTACTAGCTCTGCCTGGTTATAGTTCTACCTGCACTGCCTACCAGAGTGGATCAGGCTGCATGTCTCTGAATAGGCCCTGACACTTGAGAGGAGATCTTTGGGACCTAAGGTTCTGGATGTGGCAGCCTTGGTCTCATTGGCTTCCGAAGGCATTTTCTGGACATAACAATGCTGAGCACCAAGATTGTATCCACTAAATGTTGCAGACGTGCACTAGAGGAGTCTCTCATAATGTGGTCTATTTACTCACAAAACTGACAATACACTGATGCCCTCCCATATCTACTATTTTGTTCTCCTGTAGATCATCCCCAATGCTCTGATTTTCTCTTGGGTCTGGTTAGTGGTACTGGGGAATTCCTTGCTTGGTGAGATGTCTTGAAATTCCATTGTAAACACACTGCTTTCTGTTGCAGTTGACAAGGTTCTGCACTGCCAATACCCGAGCCCAGAAGGCAATCTGACCTTTGTAATCTGCTACTAGCCAGCTGAAACCTGCTGGTAGTGCCTGACACCAGGTATTGTAGATCTAGAGTAGATAGATGAATAATTAAAAACTATGTATAAATGGATCAGACACCAAGAGAAGTTGGTCAGCATGGAAGCAGCTCACAAGTAGGGCTCATTGGTGAGAGGAAACAAGATGGGAAGGTGGGACTGGAAGACAGCATGCACACTTTCAAAATAACTTGTGAGATTATAACAGTGGGACAGGAAAAACAGAACCTAACATGTTATGCAAAGCAGCAAATCCAGTCCTGAATGGATTTGGGCATGATGCAATGGGCATTACACTTAATAAGAAACCATCAGATCCTTCAGAGAATGCATATCTGTGAAAATACCTTTGGTAGTGGGGAACAGGGGGAAACAGATCAAGTATCAAAAGTATAACTGATGGTGTCCAGGCGGACTAAAGGGGGAGTATGAAATGAGACACTTGATACTGGAGACTAGGTCTCTGGCATGGTGTTCTGCAAAAGGCTCAAGGGAGAACAGGAATTGCCGGGAAGAAGATGGACACCTGAGAAAAGTAAGTATTTTTTCTTACTCCCCTAAGTAACAACATGAATGGTGTCTATGTAGAATAGATTTTCCAGAAATTCAGACCAGATATGATATGCAGACCATTTCTTTTAACATTTTTTTTTCATGAAACCATAGATTCCAAGGCCAGAAGGGACCA